AGGCGGTGGAGCTCGGCCTGCCTGTCCTGGGCGTGAATGGCTGGCAGGTGGCGCTCGGTACCCGGAATCCCGACTTCTCGGCGGAAACACCCCCGCCGCCGCCCCCGCCGCCGCCGCCGCCTCCTCCTGGCTCCTTCTTATCCGAGCCGGGTTTGGAGTACGGCTTGAAACTCGACTTGTCCTCCACGCCGATGTCGCTCAGCTTGAGGGGGCCTGACTTGGTGTCCTTGTCGCCCCCGGCGCCGCCGCCGGCACCACCCGCGCCGCCCCCGTTGGAGGCGACCGAGGAGAGTTTGGAGGAGGGCGAGGGGTCGGGCTTCCCGATCTGCGAACATGTTTGCGCCAACAGCGCCAGCGGGCTCTTCTTGGCATCTAGCTGCGGGGTCAGACAGGGGAGGGGGGAAGGGGTCACACAGAGAAAGAAGGGAAAACCCTTTAGAATCCTAGCTTCGACGGTCCAAACGCCCCTTTGCAATATCCCAAGAAGATCCACCCAGTTCTGTGGAGCCATTCTAGGAGGCAACCCTCTCTCCAACCTACCCACAAACATTCTCGCCCTTGGGAAAGGCGGCAGAACCCCCTCCCCACCCACATATCCATCAGCGCCTTTTCTGCCCTCTTAGCGCTAAGTGGATTTAAAAAAAAACTCACAAAATGTTTTCTTTTTTCCAGTCCTAGACCCCAACTGTAACCCCCTTCCTACACACACTTAAAATTTTCAGAGCAAGGCTTGGGCAGTAGGCGCTACAGAGGCTGTGTACAAGCTAGCTTCTCGGACTGAGGACGGCAACTTACAGACCCTCGCCTGCCTTTTGGGACGAGAGGAGGTGCCCTGCGTCGGAGTACAGGGGTTTAATACCAAAAGGAGAAAGAAACAAGTTTGGGCGACTATCCCCTGGCATTCACACTCTAATATCCCCCCCCTCCGCCCTAGTTTGGAGGTGCGGAAGCTTTAACCTCTCACCCCCATCCCGGAGCTGAATCACTTTGACCTCCCCCACCCCACCCCCCATATCCCGAAAGAATTAAGTCCTCCCTCCCCACCCCCGCCGCACAGCACCTTCCCAGGAGAGGGCCCTTACCTCGATGGGGCTGACGGGCGTGGAAGGCAGCGGCTGCAGGTACTCGGGGTGCAAAATGTGGCCAGTTCGGGCCGTCAGCATCTTCAGCACCTTGATGGGCAGGCGGTTGGCCTGGCGCAGGGGATCAGAGGGGGGCACGGCGTGCACAAAAGGCTTGGTGCTGCCGGCCGGGGATGGGC